CACCCGTGTGCGGTGCCCCTCGGGCCGCTCGCGCATCTGGTTGCTTTCAACAAGAATCGGTGGCTCCCAAGGGGCTGCTGATTGAACCCCTCGACCTCCAAGGCCTCCACAGGCGGAAAGGCAAGCACGCTTGCGCCTCGTGCTCCCGATCTCGGTCTCGAGCACACTGCCTGCACCTGCACTGGAAGCCTCGGGCGGCCGAAGGATCTCCGCCTCCGACTACACTGCACCGCGGAAAACAAAATGAAGTCGGCGAGAGAAAGGACAACCTAAGTTGGGGACCGAAGCCCACTGAGCTCACCCTTGGCCTTCGCTCCCGGCTGACGGTCTCGGCTTTGATAGGCCTCGGCCTTCTCCCTCAACCATTGGGCCTCAAACCTAAAGGCCTCGGCGCCTGAGGCTTCACTTCCTAGCTCTGCGTCGAGACAAAGGAAGTCGGGGAGCAAACATAAGGAAAAGGAAACAAAACAAGGGGGGCTGGAACTCACCCTCGACCGCCCCTTCAAAACCACAGCCTCGATCTCTGAGGCCTCAACCGCAACAAGGGCCTCGTTCAGTGCCTTTGGTCACCAGTCGCTCTCCTCCCCCAATTTGCCCGGCGAGGGTCCTTGCTGAGGTCGTCGCCTCTTCACCCGGGACTGAAGGCATCCCGATCGTGACCGTCTTGGGTAAGCTCCTCCTCCAGCTCCTTGACCCGCGCCACCAAGGGGGCGAGGCTGCTGGACCGGTTGCCTCGACCTTCGCGTCGGCACAGCGAAGACGGAGGTCCTCCACCTCCGCGCTCCGCGCCGACAGAAGCTCGTTAGCATTGGCAAGAAGGCCCTTCTACCGGTGAAGCTGGTCCCAGACGCCCTCTCCCGCCGGGAGAAACACCGACTTCCCAGCGGCCGGGTCTCGAGCTCCTCAGGGAAGCAAACAGCGAGGGTCATTAGTCGCAACAAAGTCGGAAAGTAAATGTCGCACGAGAAAGAAAAGCACGAACACAGGCGACTCCGGGCGATTAAATCGGCCACCACAGATAAGCGCCCGTCCATGTGGCGGCTTGCTCGCCAATTGGCGATATCTTGCTCGATGGTGTTCCAGCGCCCACCCTCAGCCGTGTCCTCAAGGGCGAACAGAGGCTCCCCCTTAGGGTCGTCCCGACTCCGCCATAATACCCATGGGTGATCCCACCCATGAGGCTCGGCCGACCATACGAGGCCAAGCTTCCCTCGTCCAAGAGCGGCGGCTGCTTGCTCCACGGCATTGGTCTCCTTGGCATCGACCACCTCCGCGCCCGTGAAGTGTCGTCGGAGGAGATTGGATAGACCAACGGCGGGCCCTGAACCAAGGGCACCACTGAGGCGGCCGCCGCCTGCATCTCCGCCTCCTGCACAGACGGCCTCGCCGCCATCACGACGGTCTTGGTGACCTCAGGGGCTCCGGCCTCTGCAATTACTGCCTCGGCGGTCTCGGGGTCTCGGCCTCCGCCATCGTGGCCTCGGCGGACGCAGAGACGCCGACCACGGCCATCGCGGTCTCGGCGGCGGTCGTGGCGCCAGTAGCCTTCGTCGCCTCGGCCTCGGAGACCACAGGGGCCTCGGCAACAAAGGGCATGCCGGCCCCATCCGACTCGTGAGCCTCGCCCCCACGAGGCGGAAGCGCTCCTCCTCGTCGTGCGTGTAGGGGCCACCTCGGTAGCCCCTCCTTGGCCCGGCCCCTTTGGGTCGACCCTCGCCCGCCCTTGCGCCCCGCGTTGGATAGCGGCTTGTGCCTCCGCCACCCGGTGTCGCGGAGGAGCCGAGGCTTCGCCTTAAGCACCTTAAGGGCGCCAAGGGGAGGTCGTCCATGCAGCCGCTTCCGACTAAGGAAAATTAACCCTCTGGTCGGTATAAAACTAAAAAAGCGTGAAAAAACACCACGACCACCGCTAAGAATACACTTGCCTTGATCGGTATTGCCCCGCTTTGCCACAGCAAACCTCACCCGCCAGCCCAGGCGGCGGCGGCGCAGGCGCGCCTCCGTATCCATCGACGCCCGGTCGGTCTTGGCGACCCAGCGCCCCCTCGATCTCTGCGAGGCGGCGGCGTCGCCTCGTCGCCACCCGCTCCACCACGGCCGCCCGAGCCTCACCGGGCCGACGGCGCGTTGCTTAACGCCAGCGCCTCGGGCGTGTCGGCCTCGGCCGGGCGGGCAACCGCCGCCCGGTCCGCTTCTCCTCCCTTCCGGGGTGCCGGATGCTTACCGACACCCCGGCGACACCTCCACGACATCGGGAAGGTGGTCCAGGGGACCTCGCCCTCCCTCGACCTTGTTGTCCCCGTCCCGAGGCCTCGGCGGCGGGCGCCGTCTCCGTCTCGCCGCCCGAGGCTCTCCGGAAAGGCCTCGGGGTACATTCTTCGTGTCGCTCGAGGCGTCTCGCAAAGGCCTCGGCAAGGAACCCGATCTCCATCTCGCGCGAGGCCCCGGCCTCCGTGTCGCTCGAGGCAGTGTCGCCCGCGACCCGTCACCCCCGCCTCGACCGACCCTCCGGACAACGTGTCATGTCCCATTAATGCTTCAACCACTCCCGCAATCTCAATGGACGACGGCTCAACGCCCTGAGAATGGCCGCCACGCGACCAAAATCGTCGCATCACCGGTATACCGGCCGGGACAGGTCTCTTGATTACCGCCCACGTGTCCTAACGTTGTATCCACGATCGGCGCCATACCGGCCGGGATAGGGTACGGCGGGAATTACCGCCATCTGTGTCCTAACACCATACCCACGATCGGTAGCCCACTCGAGGCCTCGGCACGCACACCAAGGTCTCGGCCATCTTGGGGATCGTGCTGCTGCGAGACCCCTCCACCATGGTGCGGCCTCGACACCGACCAAGTCTCGGCCTCCCTTGTGATCCGTCCACGATGGCTTGCACGTCCCACCGCCGCACCCACTCCGAGGTTGTCCGGGGCTCCCACGACGCACGGGATCGATGGGGCGGCCACGTCGCCCAATGCTCAAGGGCGGACCACTCCGACGGCCACACCGCCACAGAACAGGCTCTGGGGGCTTGGACCGCCGCCTCTGTTCATACTGACGCCAGTATAGTTAGCTCATGTACCGCCCTAGTCCTCCCTTCATGCTATAAAAGGAGAGGACACAGGGCTGTTTTAAGGGAGAGGGACACCTTGTGACACACACACACGCACACTCCTCGCTGCCGCTGAGAGCAACGTCTCAAGCGGCCCAAGACGACACTCTCGCTGAGACCTAGGACCAGCTCCTCTCTTCTTTAGCTTGTAACCCCCCTACTCAAGCACCTCGGTGCAAGGAATACAAGATCGATCTCTCGGGACCGGGCGTGGGGCCTCGATTGCACTGAACCAAGATAAACCTTGTGTCTCTTTGCATCACCATCCGGATCGGGAGCACGCAGAATAAATTCACTGGTTGGTTGAGGACCCCCGGTCCGAAACACCGACACTTGGATACTGTTTTCGTTTAGCTGAATGAAAATGGAGCTAGCCTCTTGCGTAAAAAAAAAACTTGATACTGTCTCCGTGTAATGGGAGGAGGGCTCGCTCCATGGCCTCCAAAGTACGAATTGGTGTGCATGGTCTCCCAACATTCCCGACACATCCGTTTATCTGTTACACTATATCTATTTTTAGATGTATATATAATGTTTATTTAAGACAAACAAACTATTTCAAAAATCATAAACACCTCATCCTACACGCTACGTTTTATTGGCTGTTATATTTCTGCATGTAGAATCAGTCACCTACGATGCCAATTTTCAAACACTCTATCCTACTTTAGTCGACACATAGGTACAGACTAGAGCACTGCAGGGGCTAATATTGTTTTCCCTACCTAAGGTTTGACTCAATTAAACTTTAGCAAAAATCCATTTCTTTGGTGCATGGATCTTTAGTAATAATAATACGCTCCATGCCGTAGGTCATACCAAATGCTAGTTGGATTACCCATTAGGGTTCATCATTGCAATCCAATAAGGAGTATTATTTTTTAGTTACTCACTGTATACCAATGTCTATATGCCATAATTGTTGTAGATAATCTATTATAGGATATTTTTATACTCTAGGATTCTAATTGCACTACAACATCCAACATGCATGGAAGGAGGCATAATTGGCGTGGCTATATATATCACTGAATCTCTTTATACTCAGGAATTTATAGATTGCATATTTCATATAGTCTCCTATAATACTAGTATGATTACTTGTGTTACCTTAAACCGCTGATGATACTACTTGCTCGGGTAACCCCAGCAATTCCCAACCAGAGGTTGTCGCGGAAAAAGATCCTCCGCAAAGCACAGCGCGGATTAATGGAAAGAAATGGGAAAAGCGGAAAAGTATGGAAGGATGGGCCCACCGCACCAACACACAGATTGACACGGACACCTCAATCCCAACTGTCCCCATACGCCTCCCGACGCAGCCACGCAGGAGAGGAGAGAGAGCCAGAGAAACCCAACCCAAACCCAGTCAAGATTAAGGGTCCGTTTGGTTTCAAATAAGTCACCTACTTATAAGTTAAAAAGTGAAAAAGTGACTTATTTTGCCAAACACCACCAACTTATAAGTCACCCCTGCTTATAAGTTTTAAGTTGGTTCATCCCTGCTTAAAACTTATAAGTCACCCTTTTTCGCGTGGGGCCCACACCTTTAATGAGCTTATAAGTCATTTACAACCAAACATGCATGACTTATAAGTCACTGGTTTTCAGTCACCTGACTTAATAAGTCACCTGACTTATGGAAACCAAACAGGGCCTAAGGAGAGACCCCTCCTCCGAAACCGCCACCCTTCCAGAATCCCAGCGACGGCCGCTCGCTAATCCTTTCCTATCCCCCAAACCCACCCGCCCGCCAGCCGCTAATCGCAGCGCAGGCATTCCCCACCTACCCCCTTATAACACGCCCCTTCTCCCCCCCCCGCGCGCCTCCTTTTTCCAATCTCGAATCCTCCCACCCCCAACCCTAGCGCCCGCGCCGCCGCCATGGCCGAATCCGGCGACTCGTCCCCGAACTCCGCCGCGGCCACGGAGGACGCGCACCACGAGGCGTCGGAGGCGGCGGTGCATGCGCAGCCGGCGGCGCAGCCGCGCCCGCCGCCGCCGCCGTCCAAGGTGCGGCTGATGGTCAGCTACGGGGGCCGCATCCAGCCGCGCCCACACGACAACCAGCTCGCGTACGTCAACGGAGAGACCAAGATCCTGTCGCTCGAGAGGCCGCTCGTCTTCGCCGACTTCGCCGCGCGCCTCGCCCCGCTCGCCGGGAACGCCGGGGACGTCTGCGTCAAGTACCAGCTGCCCGGGGAGGACCTGGACGCGCTCGTCTCCGTCACCAACGACGAGGATCTGGAGCACCTCGTCCTCGAGTACGACCGCCTCCACCTCCAACGCCCCGCCACGGCCTCCTCCGCCGGCTCCGGCTCCAGCCGCGGCGGATCCACGCTCAGGCTCAGGGTCTTCCTCTTCCCCGTCCAGTCGCCCCAGCCACCTCCGCTGCCGCCGCCGCAGCCGGCTGGGCTCCTTGAGCCCAAGGCGGAGCGGCGCCACTGGTTCGTCAAGGCGCTCAACACCGTCCCACTGCCGCCCTCCAAGCAGGACCCGCCGCCCGTGCCCCCGCAGCAGTCGCCCCCGCCGCAGCAGCAGAAGCAGGAGTCGGTGTTCGCACAGCAGTCGTCGATGCCGCCGCTGGCCAAGCACGAGGCGGCGTTCGTCCAGCAGGCTCCGCCTCAGCCGCACATGGTGGTGCAGATGCCGCCGCCGCCGCAGCAGCAGCAGGCGCACGTGGTACTCGAGGCGGCGAGCCCCGACTACCTGTTCGACCTCGACAACGGCTTCGTGCCTCCCCCCGCGGTGAAGGTCAAGGACCCGGCGGGCGACCCCCGACGGTCAGGGAGAACGTGCCCGTGGAGATACCTGCCAAAAACGACGACCGCCATCCCAACCCCAACGCGGGCGACCACGTGGCTGTCTCCCCTGTCGTATCTCCTGCAAAGTACCAGCGCCAGATCCAGGAGCTCGAGAAGCTGCAGGTCGCCGACAACGCCACCCACCAACCACCACCTACTGCAGCGGCGCCTGCTCCGGCACCTTCCCTCGCCGCCGCCCCCGTCCCCGTCCCCGCCGCCCTCCCGAGGAACGGCAGCGACGACTCCCTGACCCGCGCCTACCCTCCCGCGACCGCGACCCCAACCCCTACCGCCAACACGGAGTACTACCTTCCAAAGTTCCCGGAGAAGCCCCCCGTGCCGCCGCCGTCATCCGCTCCGCCCGCGACGGCCTACCTTCAGGTGCAGGGCAGGTACGCATCCGTCGCTCCTGGCTCCGGCGCGGACCGTGGCCCTGTGTTCTTCATCCCGGCGCCCCACGGCTACTTCGCCGCCACCGCCTCCCCAGGTGCGACCTCCTACCCCGCCGTGTACGCCGTCGCGCCACCCAGTGCCACTCCCACCGCCAACGGCTCCGCCCCCTCACCTGCGGTGTCGAATGCCACGGCCTACGCCCCCGCCCCCACACAGGTCGCGTACGACAGCAATGGCCGCGCCATCTACTACACCAGCATGCTCCCCCAGTACCCTTCGGCTGTCAATGGCATGTCGGCAGCGGGCGCCGTGATCGGGACAGAGACCGTGAAGCCGACCGCCTCGTGATCACACCAGCTTACACCTCACAGCACAGCACCTCATCGCCAATGGATCAAAGGAGTTTTCCGGGTTTTCTTTCATCCTCAATCCGCCCACTCGTCAATATGCGTTCGTTAATACCGTGTCATTTGGATTCGTTATTGTCCCTAGTAGTCACCTTCACCTATATATTTTCCCTTTTAATTGTCTAGAGGTTTTTTTTGGTTTGGCGTTCTCGGTTTATGATATGATGATTATGCAAGTATTAGTAGTTCTTTGGTGTGCTTAGATGTACATACAGAGTCTGTGGACATAATGGATAAGTATTATATATATTATCCTTTTGGAGATTTAGTCGAGTTGGAGTTGTTTAACAATCTTGAGGGTGTCACTTCTACCATTAGCATTTGTTAATTCTTTGGATTGCTGTATCGATTAATTCAAGAAATTCAATGGCCATGTGATCTCTCGGTACTCTACTACTCTTGCACTGCACTCTTGACGAGCGTGTTATGTTATTTCTTTGTCAATTGCTGCCCCTTGTGGGCAACTACAGTCGTTCTGCGCTGATCACGGGACATCAGCGTGGTGCATTTATGTATGTACTCCCATGTATGAGCTCAGGGGAGTGTTGGTCGCACAATTTTTATGGCGTAAAAGTTCAGTCATTGTGGCGATATGGATGGTTGTTGTCCGTGATGCCTGTTGAATGTTGTTTGGCCTAGATGGTGTGATGCAGCCGCTGTCCATGTCAGGGATGTATTCTTCTGTCGGTAATCGTTCTTCCAAGTGCATTTTTCTGTCGGTAATCGTTCTTCCAAGTGCATTTGGCCTAGATGGTGTGATGCAGCCGCTGTTCTGTCAGGGATGTTGTTTGGCCTAAAGTGGGCTCTGCATGAAGCACCATAAATGCGTGGCAATTACCTGTCCATTAACTTGACACTGACCTTTGCACAAGATCGTTGAAAACGAAGGCCATCTCCACTCTCCAGTCCCCTCTTCCTCCCCATGTAACGACAGCTGACGGCCGACGGGGGCGCCGTCTCGTATTGTTCCCGCCCATTGTCACCTCCGTCGCATTCCCGACGCGCTTGCTTGCTTTGTGCTTTGACAGCCCAGAACTGTGCGTGCTTCCCCCACCAATGACGGAAAATGCCTGGGATGCCCTTGCATCGCAGAGAGGATCTTTCATCCTTTCGACGCCCATCGAGGTATCACGCTCACTCTACCCATGCCCCTTTTGGGCAAAGATGTTTAGCTTCTGCTGGTGCTGCGGCATGGCTTTTGACCAAAGCAAGCCCTGCGATGTGTTTGCTCGCCCAGTCAGTCGCCCTTTCCCTTCCGCATAGAAATGCCGTGTCGTGTCATCCATTGCCGCTTTCTCCACCTGTTGATGATGGATCCCTGGCCCGGGCCGTGGCCGTGAGATCTTCTTGGCCTCGGTTAGGCACGGCAGTCAGCACTCGAGCCCTAGCACTAGCAGCAGCCAGGCCGAACTTGGGTCGGAAATTCGCTATCCTCACCATGTGATGTGCAGGTGCAGACGTGCAGGCCCTTGTGCAGTTGTGGTAGTGGGTGCAGCGGCAGCCGCTAGCTGCACTGGAACCGGGAGACGAGCCACGAGCACGACCTGGTAGGGCAGCAGCGACAGCGAGCGCTTCAGCTTCAGCAGTGGCTGCACTGCATCTGCACCTGCATCCGCCCGGCAAGGAAGGCAGCAGCCATGGCACCGCACATGGAGGTGGGCATGGCTCCCCATCCCCGTCCGTCCGTCCGTCACCGTCACGCTGATCGGCCTGCCTGCAGCTGCAGGAGTAGGAGTAGGAGCATGACCGCTGGTGCTGTAGAGGTGCCGCTTTCGAGCTCGTTCCGGTTGCCACGGGAGCTTTGAATGCACACACATAGGAGGACTCCTACACACTCGTTTGGTTGGGTGGCTGGTCGCCGCAGGTCACCCAGCGAGCATTAATCCCGTCTGGTGAACGGCGAGAGCTGCTGCTCATGTGCTTGATGTGAGTGAGAGCGAGACGGCAGAGCCAGAGCCGGTGGTTACTGCACCTGCCCATCGAGATCGATAGCGGCACTCATGGGCCGGCGCCATCAAAAGGCTCCGCCGCACTTGGGAAAAGGCCGAGTCCGGCCCTGCATATCTGTATGTGCTGCATGCGCTTCACTGAACCTTACCTCGCCGGCGCCGGCGTCGCGCCGCCCCATCAGAAGAAAGCGACGGTCTCTGGTGCTGTACGTGTTGCTCTGCCACGCCCTCGAGCATTCCAGATTTGCTGTCCCTGCTCTGCTGCGGCGCTGCCGGCTCGGTGCTCGCCCATCGTCCGCTCCGCATGATCGCTGTTCCGCGAGCTGTCACTGATCATGATTCGCCTCGCCTCTCGCTCTCGATCGGCAGTGCGTGCATGCATGCACTGGTGTCTGAAAGCGCAAGCATGTCTAGCCTGGACCAATGTTTCAAAATGTCTGTCCTGGACCCTGGAGTAGATGATTCCGATCATCTTTTTGATGCAGAAGCAGCAGTCTGTCTGCGATTATACTACCCGGTGACCGTACGTTACATCCTTGATGATGATTTAACTGTTAGGGTTGAAGAGGTGTCTGCATGTCTATGAAGGATCGAAGAGGCTTAAAGGCAGAGTGATGACTTCAAAAAAAGAAACACAGGCAGCATGGACCAGTTGGGAATGTAACTATGTTATTCGCTTCTTTCCCGTGCGCTGAGCTTATTATAGCGCCTGCTATGCAGCTCTCTCCGTTGCACGCCAATGAGAACTGGGCGCCGTCGCGTTGTCACGGCAGAGCAAGCGTGCCCGTGCCGAGGGTCCTGATCCATGTGAATCATTGTCATTGCAAACTTGAAGATTGCCGCGTTCAACGTTCTCCGAAGATGACTTTGACCGGGGTTATATTGGAAAATTAGGAATTTGCAATGTTATATTCTAAATCATGCATTAAAGGCGTGACTATATAGGGTACTAATTAATGAAATGCAAACAGTAAACCATAGCAGAGTGGTTAGAAAATCGTACTCCATCCATTTCAAATTACGAGTCGCTTTGATTTTTTAAGTTCATCCATTTTGCTATGTATGTAGACATATTATTTATCTAGATACATAACAAAATAAATATACCAAAAAAATCAAATCAACTTATAATTTGAAACAGAGAGAGTACCCTTGAGCGGACCGGTGCTCGCTGTTAGAGCCTCGTTGACGTGAAGTTGAGCTCAACTGATATGTAGTGCGATGACACTCTGTACAACGATGACCACCAAATATCTGCAGATGACGCTGTCGTGATAGGTGGAGGAGGAATGCTGTGGGCAACGACGTGGACTAGTGAAAACAGTACCACACTGCCTATCTTGGCCTCAAGGCAACCCGTAGTGAAGTGCAAAGAGCTTCATGAAATATCCACCCTCTCGGTGTAGGATCGCAAGAGCGAGAGATCCTGCAAGAGTGAGAGGTTCCATAGACCTGCTCTTCCTACAAGAGTGAGAGGTTCCGTAGATCTGCTCTTCCAATTATTGGTGCATGCCGACGCACTCCCAAATACCAAACACAAATAAAGAGTAGGGAAAATTTTAATTTGACCACCACAACAAAGAAAAAGTAAAGAAAATCTTCTAATTGACTAACTTAGGGCTTAGGGATTCCCAAATCTAATCTAGGGATTCCTATATAGATGTTTCAGTACACCTTTACCAAGAGGCGGGGTTGGTGGCTCGGTGAATATATATAGCGAGAAAAACCTCTTTTTTTATATCAACTAGCGATGTGGTACTTATTAATGCCGCACCTTCCACCTCCACTTGTGGTCTTATATAAACATTGAAGCTTATTAGGGAACATACACAATGGGCCTTTGTGATTTATATTATTAGATTAGAATTTCTGTATATGGGTTGGAGAGTAGCCCATAAATAAATTCTAACACAAAATGCTCATTGAGGACTGTTGGCTTCGTCCTCATGCAATGTTGTCCAGCAGGCAGAGCAACACCAGACGTCTGATTTTAAATACCTGGACCATACGGTTGCTTGGCTGGCTCCTTGTTTGGAAGGCATGCAAGTATTAGCCCTGGGCAAATTTTACCGAGAATCGAGAACCGAACCGAAAAAACTGAGAACCGAACCGAATTTATCGAGAACCGAAGTCTCGGTTCCCTATTCGGTTCTCATTTCCGAGGAACCGAAATTTGTTCAGTAAAATCGGTTTCCCCCCTCGGTTAACTGAACTAACCGAACTAACCAAAATTTGTTTGCTTTGTTTGATTGCCTTCTTGTTGGCGATTGCTGGTCACTGGATGGTGGATGTATTTCAAGATTTGTGTTGTCTTTGTGCTAGTGTAGTAGTGTCTTTGTCTTAGTGTCTTGCACTCTTCTTGAATGCTGATGCCTTGCTTTAGAAGTTAGCACTCTATTGAACATGATGTTACATGGATTTTGGGTATTGTTCGGTTTTTCGGTTCTACTTGGAACCGAACCGAAAGAACCGATACCGAACTTGGTCGGTTCCATGTTTTTGAAGAACCGATCAAGATCTTGGTTTTCTCGAGAACCGAACTTCTTCAAAAAACCGAAGAACCGATTGGTTGGTTCGGTAGAACCGAACGCCTGTGGCTATAAGTATGCAACCCGATATGTCCGAACGACTTTATCGGTCTTTTTTTTAATTACACAGGTACATATGCGGATGCTCACAACACGCACGCGTACACTCATCCCTATGAACACACGCACGTAAATTCTACCCCTATGAGCACCTTCGAAAGACTGTGCCGGCACATCTCGAGAATGACGAAGTCACCACGTGCGCCTCGCTGTCGACGGGAGCATCGCCTATCACGGAAAGTACAACTCCATTAAATCCTGAAATAAATCCAAAAAAATACGAGCACCCGTAGAGTTTTTTTTTTTTTGTTGGGTAGAGATAAGAATATAAGACGCACGGGCATGCGTCCGGGGTGATTAACCGAGTGCGTGATATGATAATGGGCCCATACGGCCCAATTCCA